GGGACCGTGTCCGTGTGCCCAGGAGTGTCCGTGTGTCCCCAGGAGTGTCCGTCTACCCAGGCGTGTCCATGTGTCCAGACATGTTTGTGTCCCTGTGCCCATGTGGGGACTGTGTCCGTGTGCCCGGGCGTGTCCGTGTCCCAAGTGGATCCCATGTCCCTGTCCCCAGACATGTCCACGTGTCCCCAGGCGTGCCCGTGTGCCCAGACACGTCTGTGTCCCTGTGCCCAGCCATGTCCCTGTGCCCATGTGGGAACCGTGTCCCTGTCCCCAGGCGTGTCCATGTGTCCCCAGACATGTCTGTGTACTGAGCCATGTCTGTGTCCCCAGGTGTGTCCCATGTCCCTGTCCCCAGGCGTGTCCATGTGCTGTGTCCCTGTCCCCAGACATGTCTGAATGTCTGTGTCCCCAGGTGTGTCCCTGTCCCAGGTGTGTCCATGTGTCCATGTGCCCAAGCGTGTCCGTGTCCTGACATGTCCCCAGATGTGTCCACGTACACGTCCCCACGTGTGTCCATGTCCCCACGTGTGTCCATGTCCCCCCCACGGGGGCCCAAAGGGCCTCCCTTTATCACCCCCCAAAAGCCACCGTTTCCCTCAGAAATACAACCGTTTTGGCGCTCTCAGCCCTTAAGCYGYGTTTGGTTTGAGGATGGGGSCCGTGAGCAGCTCGACACGGCATCAGCCCCCCAGTGCCGGACAAGTCCCGCCGGACGGTCCCGGCTGCCCCGATCCCGGGAGTCGGGTGACACTGGGGTCCCCCCGCCTGGGGACATTCAGCCCTGTGCAAYGATCCCAACACAAGCTCCTCCAGTCCCGTTTGCTCCTTTTCCCACTGAGGTTTTGACCCAATCCAAATGTTGTTTTGCTCCTGTGATCCATTTCCAGCCCTTTAAAATAGTAAAATATTTTTAATATTTCCTGAAAAACACAACACCTGAGCGGACCCCCTCCCTCTGCCAGGCCACAAGTCCCGTTTTTTGGCATTGCCGGGAACGGATCCCGGCTCAGGTGCCACTATCCCCGAACTGCGGGTGCCAGTTCGGGCAGGGCCCGGAGCACCGCGGGGGCGGCAGCGGGGAGCGGGCCGCAGAGCAGGGGCGCGGGGCCGGGGGAAGCGCTCCCGTCAGCGGCGCTCCGGGACCCCGGTGACCGGCACGAGGGGCGCCGGGACTCGCTCCCGTCAGACCGGGGGCGGCAGCGCCGCCCCTAGCGACAACGGCAGAGATGGCGGCCGCCTCCTCCCGCCCCCKCCTCAGCAGCCCTCAGGGCCGCCTTGCACAAACAAACAAGGGGAGGGGGGCGGGGGGAGAGAATGGGCGGGAAAGGCTTCTCGACTCCTATTGGCTCATTGAACTGCCAGTCTGTTTAGCTCCGCCTTCCCAGGCACTTTGGCTGTTGCTATTGGCCAGCGGTCGCGTCATCCCCTCTGCACGGCCCAGGGGCGCATGCGCGTCTAGGCGCGCCTCCCCCGCCTTCACGGTTGCGTGCCGTGTGCAAAGGAAAAACAGCCGTTAAACGGGCCGCGGGGCGGGGCCACCGAAGGGGGGCAAGAAGCGGCGCGGGGATTGGCGGAAGCGGGACGTTCAAACTAGTATGGGTCGCGCTGATTGGCTCGCGGCCGCCGCGGCAGGCCAGGCTCCCTCCTCGCGCTCGGGCGGGTTATTGTCTGGCGGCTCCTGCGGCGGCCTCGGCGCGGACTCGGCAGCGGGGCTCGGGCGGCGGCACCATGGTGAGAGCGGGGGCCGCGCGTGGCCGCTCGC